AGCAACACTAACTGCTGCTGTCCTGTCCTTTCCTTACGCCCAAGGTTTTATAGGGGGCGCAGTTCAATCTGATTTCACAGCTGACTCCCATCTATGTCCCAGTAAAGGCCTTGTACCTTTGTAGCACTCTGCCCAGGGCTCCCCTCACCTCCTTGTTGCGCAGACTGTAGATAAGGGGATTCAGCATGGGGTTGAGAACAGCGTAGAAGACAGAAACCACTTGTCCTTGTCTGGGGAGTGCTGTGCCTGGCGCTGCATGTACATGAACATCCCCGTCCCATAGAATATGGTCACCACAGTCATGTGAGAGGAGCATGTGGAGAAGGCTTTCTGGCGCCCCACAGCAGAGCCAATCTTCAGTATAGCCCGAATGATGCCAATGTAAGAAATCGGGACAAGGAAGAGAGGGACCATGAGGGTGAAGAAACCCCCTATAAACATCATTTTCTCTGTGCTGGAGGTGTCCGCACAGGATAACTTGATCAGGGCTGGGGTTTCACAGAAGAAATGATTGATGACATTGGGGCCACACAGCACTGGCCACAAGAAAGGTGAAGGAATGGCTGTTGCCAGGATGCCAATTGCCCATGATGCTGCTGCCAGGTTGATGCACACTCTCCTGTCCATGACAGTATTGTAGTGCAGGGGGTTGCATATGGCTACATAGCGGTCAAAAGCCATCACCATGAGGATGAGGCATTCAGTGGAGCCCAGGATCAAAGCGATGCAGACCTGCGCTGCACACAGCTCATAGGAAATGCTCTTGCTCCCTGTCAGGATGTTAGTCAGCATTTTCGGGACCACAATAGAAACATAGCACAAGTTCAAGAAGGCCAGGTTGCTGAGGAAAAAGTACATAGGGGTGTGCAGTTGAGAGTCCAAGGAGGCCAGTGTGATTATAGTGAGGTTTCCCAGCACAGTCACAGCATAGACCAAGGAAAACACCACAAAAATGAGCCACTGCAGCTCTCGCTGGTCAGAAAGTCCCAGCAGAATGACCTCTCTGCCCATGCTGTGATTCCTCTTTCCCACCTTGCTCTCCATGCTAGACCCAGAATTGTGTAGGCCAAATGTGGACGGAGATATGCACAGACCTGCAGAAAGGGACAAAAGGAATTGTGGGTTAGAATGACAGTATGGGAATAGACCCTGATGTTATTAAATGTTGCACGACGGGTAGGAGAAAAGATTGAACCTGTCATCTCTTGAGTTGGACACACAGGTTTTAACTATGCGGTTTGAGAGACCTCCTCTGCATATCAGCTGGAAAAGGGAGACAAAAATCCTGTTGGGACTTGGTGGATGTTGAACTGAGCGGTGACACACGGCCAGAGGTGGAAAGAACGCCCAGATCTGAGTGTGGTAATCATTTACAATGACTATCATAAGCATAATATGCCCAGTGCATCAGAACTGACCCCAGATTATACCTATCTCATGCATGCAGTGTTTGCATTCAGCGCAACAAAAAACAAATGCTGTGTATGATATTCTCTCTTGGTTTTTTTCCTCCGTCTTCTCTCAATCAAAAAACAACCTTGCACTTGCCCTAGCTTCCCAGAGTAAATGCTTTGAGAATTTTATTCTAGATCACCAACCGAACCAGCCAAGAAACACTCCTCAGGACCATGACTTCCTGCTTACACGTGGAGCAGCCATTTACCTGCAGCGGTACTTCCCAAAGTAAGGAAGGGTGAGAGATTTTGGCTCACAGTGAGTGGACATAGGGAGCTCTGTAGAGCTGATGATATTTTAGTGGGGTGATTTGCTCTTCTCACTTTCCTCTCTGCACACCACAGGGTGTGCCAGACTGCCATGGCCCCTCACACACTCAGCACCCCTGCCATCCTGAATTGTTCCATGCAACTCAATGGAGGAAGGGGCTATCCAGAATGAGTTTGGGTATCCAAATTTGACCATAAGAGACTAGAGATGAGAGAGCATCCCATATCCTGGACTGGACCCTAGGCAGAAAGGTGACCTGTTTGTGAAGGTACACTGCACATCCTTCTTCTGCCTTTAACTTTGAAGAGTCTGCCAGTGCTTTCTGTGCAGCGTTAGGGGAAAAGCCAAGAGCAGGAAGTGACTGATCACTCGAATGACTCAAGTAACATTCAGGCCCTGTTGCCAAAACAAGTCTTACTTTTGATTCAGAAAAGCAGAATAGCTCTG